TATGAGGAAACGGCTAACTGCTAACAGGAAACAGTTAACAGTTAACAGCTAACAGCTAACTGCTAACAGCTAACAGCTAACAGTAAACAGCTAACCGCTAACAGCTAACTGCTAACTGCTAACAGCTATGAGGAAATGGCTAACTGCTAACAGGAAACAGTTAACAGTTAACAGTTAACAGTTAACAGCTAACAGGAAACAGCTAACAGCTAACATCTAACAGCTATGAGGAAACGGCTAACTGCTAACAGTAAACAGCTAACTGCTAACAGCTAACAGCTATGAGGAAACGGCTAACTGCTAACAGGAAACAGTTAACAGTTAACAGCTAACAGCTAACTGCTAACAGCTATGAGGAAACGGCTAACTGCTAACAGGAAACAGTTAACAGTTAACAGCTAACTGCTAACAGGAAACAGCTAACATCTAACTGCTAACAGCTATGAGGAAACGGCTAACTGCTAACAGGAAACAGTTAACAGTTAACAGCTAACTGCTAACAGCTATGAGGAAACGGCTAACTGCTAACAGGAAACAGTTAACAGTTAACAGTTAACAGCTAACAGCTAACTGCTAACAGCTATGAGGAAACGGCTAACTGCTAACAGGAAACAGTTAACAGTTAACAGTTAACAGTTAACAGCTAACAGGAAACAGCTAACAGCTAACATCTAACTGCTAACAGCTATGAGGAAACGGCTAACTGCTAACAGGAAACAGTTAACAGTTAACAGCTAACAGGAAACAGCTAACAGCTAACAGCTAACTGCTAACAGCTATGAGGAAACGGCTAACTGCTAACAGGAAACAGTTAACAGTTAACAGCTAACTGCTAACTGCTATGAGGAAACGGCTAACTGCTAACAGGAAACAGTTAACAGTTAACAGTTAACAGCTAACAGCTAACAGCTAACTGCTAACTGCTAACTGCTATGAGGAAACGGCTAACTGCTAACAGGAAACAGTTAACAGTTAACAGTTAACAGCTAACAGTAAACAGCTAACTGCTAACAGCTAACAGGAAACAGCTAACAGCTAACAGCTAACAGCTAAGCCTGATGGGATACCTTCCTGATACATGAACTGAAAGTGTTTACCTCCTCGTGGACACATTCCACTTTCGGGTTACTCCCCGTCCGTCGGAGGCCTGATCCCGGCCCGCTGCTCGCCGTGGTGGCGTCTGACTTGGATCTCTGGTGGGTCCTCCTGGATGGGGACACAAACACGCCCCCGGGTTCTGGGCTCTCAGGGACGGCGCCGGTCGTGGAGAAAGACGGGGATGGGTCAACGTTGCTGCTGTTGTGTCTCCGGTGACAGCGGCGGTGTGACGGCGAGGACACGGGGCTGTCTGACACAGAGGGAGGAGCCTCAGGTGAAGGTTTGAGGTCATCAGACAGGATGAGTTTTCTGAGTTTGGTGCCTCTGGAGTGACGCTGCGTGGAGATGTGCATGTCGTTGGAGTAAGCGCCCAACAGCCAGGCGGTGAGCAGGGAGAAAGTTATACTTCCTGTGCAGCGATGGATCTGACAAAGACAATAACAAGTTAGAATACAGGATCGAGCAGAACCAGGTGGTAAACATTTCCAGACCCCACTAACGGACCTCCACTGGACCCTCCCTCCACTGGACCTCCCTCCACTGGACCCTCCCTCCGCTGGACCCTCCCTCCACTGGACCTCCCTCCATTGGACCCTCCCTCCACTGGACCCTCCCTCCAATGGACCCTCCCTCCACTGGACCCTCCCTCCACTGGACCCCCCCCTAACGGACCTCCACTGGACCCTCCCTCCGCTGGACCCCCCTAACGGACCTCCACTGGACCCTCCCTTCACTGGACCCTCCCTCCACTGGACCTCCCTCCACTGGACCCTCCCTCCACTGGAACCTCCCTCCACTGGACCCTCCCTCCACTGGACCCCCCCTAACGGACCTCCACTGGACCTCCCTCCACTGGACCCTCCCTCCAGAACCAGGGAGGCCAGAGACTGTCTTAAAACACCACTCTGGATATTCACTGATCTCCATGTTCCAATGACTACAGATATTCACCCATCCAAAGTTGTGTCAAAAGACAGAGAGAGGGGGCTCCGGTGGCCTAGTGGTTAGTTTGCACTTTCCATGTACAGAGGCTGTTGTCACCGAAGTGTGCGGCTGAGGTTCAAAACCGACATGTGGCTCCTTTCCCGCATTCCCCTCTCTCTCTCTCTGTCCTAACAAAGGCTGTGGTGGTTCGCGTACATTCACAGGTCGGTGATAACACGGTCGAATGAAAATGTCATGAAAGACAAGAATTGAGCCATTTCATCGGCTGTCAAGGACTTCTGTTTCTGTTGCCATGGTATTGAAACAGGTATGAAACCTGTCAGCGCTCCAGCTTCTCAGTCTTTGAAGTGTGACTAAACCACATGGTGCATTGTCTCTCTCCACCATCTTGCACGCACGCACGCACGCACGCTGGGTGTGAGGGCTCTGTGTACGGATCTCACGCCTTCATTAATATATTTATTAATTATTGATAATATTAGTAATTAAGTAACTAATTTCAGACTGATTTTTGGTTATGTTTTCCTGATTTCAGGGTGGTGCCCCAAGAGTTGATAAACATAGTTTAATTACATTGTTAAATATTATTATTAATAAAAAAACAATAGTAAGCAGGTGTCTGAGGACTCACTAGGTAAGGTCTGATGGCGTCTCCCACCTCAGTGTCCATGTGCACATACATGTTGAGCAGCTGTGGCAGATAGAAGTCCACCTCGTTGTCAGGGAAGCTGAAGAGACGATTCCCGATGTACGCCTGGACACCTGGCTCCTTTGACTTGTAGAGGTAAGAGATCGCCATGGAGACGTCGAACAGCTTGGACTCAAACAGGCGCAGCAGCCATGACTGTTTAGATGAAGACGATGAAGCTGCTGTCGGAAGCAGAGTCGACTCTGAGCGAGTCAAGCTTTGCTTTTCTGCATCCTTCCCAGTCTCCTCCTCCTCCTCTTCTTCCTCTTTGATCGAGCTGGTGTCTGGGCTGAGCAGCCACTGTGGACTGGAACACTCACAGTTCTGTTGTTGCGGCTGATCGCCTGGTTGTTTGTCGTTCGATTGTTGCTCTTCAGGCGCTTCCCTGTTCTGCAGCTTGACCTTGAGAAGGACTTCCTGACAAGCCTTCAGAGCGACTTCCGGGTCGATCACTGAAGGAAGAAACAGAGAGGTCAGATTGATTGTAACCAGAGGACTTTGGAAGGCACTTTAAATGACCAGGACGAATAAAAGTGTATCAATCAATTTCAACCAATTCTTATTTGTATAGCGTCAACTCATAACAAGTGCTATCTTGAGGCACAGTAAAAGACCTTACCATTGTTATGATACAAAAAGCAGGTAAAAGACCATACTTATTGTTATGATACAAAAAGCAGGTAAAAGGCCTTACTTATTGTTACTTTACAAAAAGCAGGTAAAATACCTTCCTTATTGTTATGTTACAAAAAGCAGGTAGAAGACCTTGCTCCAATTGACCTTTCAGAGCTAAATTCAATTATTTCTGCGTCGAAACCGTCAACCGTCTTTTAGACCCAATCCCAACCAAGCTGTTTAAGGAAGTCTTTCCCTTAGTTAGCAACTCCATATTAGATCTGATCAATATGTCTTTACTGGCTGGCTATGTACCACAGTCATTTAAAGTAGCGGTAATCAAACCTCTACTCAAAAAACCTACTCTAGATTCAGGAACTCTAGCTAACTGTAGGCCTATATCCAACCTTCCTTTTATCTCAAAGATCCTGGAGAAAGTGGTAGCTAATCAGCTGTGTGACTTTCTCCATGACAACAGTTTATTTGAGAAGTTTCAGTCAGGATTTAGAGTCCACCATAGCACTGAGACTGCACTAGTTAAAGTTACAAACGATCTACTTCAGGGGACTTCTCTCTGTGCTCGTCTTGTTAGATCTTAGTGCTGCTTTTGACACTACTGACCATCAGATCCTATTATACAGACTACAACATTTACTTGGAATTACAGGGACTGCTTTAAGTTGGTTTGAATCCTGCTTATCAGACCGATCTCAGTTTGTACATGTTAATGATAAGTCCTCTATGCACACCAAAATTAGCCATGGAGTGCCACAAGGTTCAGTGCTTGGACCAATTCTCTTTACATTATATATGCTTCCTCTGGGAAATATTATGAGGAAACATGCCATACAGTTTCATTGTTATGCAGATGATACTCAGCTTTATGTATCAATGAAGCCCGATGGCACCAGTCAGTTATGTAAGCTAGAAACGTGCCTTAAAGACGTTAGGACCTGGATGACCAGAAATGTTTTGCTACTTAACTCAGACAAGACTGAAGTTATTGTGCTAGGCCCTAAAAACCTCAGAGAGACTTTTTCTAGTGATGTGACTGTCCTTAATGACATCAGTCTGGCATCTAGCACCACTGTTAGGAATCTAGGAGTTCTATTTGATCAAGATATATCCTTTAGCTCTCATATCAGACAAATTTCAAGAACAGCCTATTTTCACCTTCGTAATATATTTAAGATCAGGAATATCCTGTCGCAAAATGATGCAGAAAAACTAGTTCATGCATTTGTTACCTCCAGATTGGATTATTGTAATTCTCTTTTGTCAGGGTGCTCTGGTAAGTCTCTAAAGACTCTTCAACTGGTCCAGAACGCTGCAGCTCGTGTACTGACCAGAACTAGGAAAAGGGACCACATTACTCCTGTGTTGGCTTCTCTGCACTGGCTCCCTATACAGTCAAGATCCTTGTTCTCACTTACAAGGCTCTAAATGGCCAGGCACCATCTTATCTTAAGGAGCTACTAGTGCCGTACTGCCCCTCGAGAACATTACGGTCCCAGAATGCAGGTACCTACAGTCTCTAAGTGTACTATGGGAGGTAAAGCCTTCAGTTATCGGGCTCCTCTCCTCTGGACTCATCTTCCAGCCGGGGTCCGGGAGGCAGACACAGTCTGTATTTTTAAGAATAGACTTAAAACTTTCCTTTTTGATAAATCTTATAATTAGGGCTGGTGCTGGTGTAGACCAGCTCTTAGTTATGCTGCTATAGGCTTAGACTACTGGGGGAACTGGCACCTTGAGCTCCTCTCTCTCTCTATGTGCATATACAGTACATCATATTACTGCATGTATCTATCTGTAAATCTCAGTCACTAACCACCTACTTTCCTGGGAGCTCTTGAGCTCTCTTAGGCTCCTCAAGATCGTTGGTTGACGGATAGGGGGAGAGATGTGATAAGATGCAGAAAGAGGGATGGGGGAGAGATGGGATAAGATGAAGGAAGAGGGATAGGGGGAGTGTATGACTCTGGTTTTCATCTCAATAGTATCTTTCAGTGAGTCTTGTTCCGGTTACCTTGGTCAGCCCCGAGGTCCATCTCCATGGCGTCCTCTGAGATGACGTCCAGCGGGGGGCTGGGGCCTCTCGGGTCGCCTCCGCTTGAAATGCCACTGCCGATGCCCTCGCTGGCGCTGCTGCTGCTCCCGAGGCTGCCAGTACTGCCGATGCTACCACTCGGACTGGAGCTGCGGGGGCTGGCGCTTGGGGAGGATGGCAGCTCGCTCTGGGGCGGCGGCGGCAGCTGCAGTTGGGGGCGAGGGTGGTGATGATGATGATGATGATGATGGTGGTGGGCTGGGCAGTCAGAGGAGCTCTCAGAACAAGAAGAAGAGGAAGAAGAAGAGGAAGAAGAGGAGGCGCTTGAGGGGGAAGAAGGGCAGGAGAATGTGGTGGGTGAGGAAGAGGAGGTTGGTGGAGGGGGCAGGGCAGAGTGGGAGGGGCTTAGATCAAGGGGTATCAGAGCCGGGGACAGGGAGACCTCTGCGTCGGCCATTTTTGAAGTGCAGACCTAAAGAAAAAGACAAAGAAAGAAATGATGGTCATTACACCTGAATACGTAAACTTTGCACACGCACACACTGCCTCGCTTTTCTTCTAAAGTCAGATTTGTTGTTTTTAACCAACAATAAATCCTCTGCTGGTCAGGAAACTGTTAACAAGCAAACATGCAAAGAATGTGTGTGTGTGTGTGTGTGTGTTATGTAATGTCCTCGTCACCATCACAGCTGAACACAGAACAGAGGATATCTTCATCCACACTGATCGAGTGCTGACCTGAAGACCGTCTGTTTGAGAGTTCATGATCTCTTCAACGTGTTTCTGGTTAGAATCTTTGTAATTAAAGACGCCAACACACTGAGAGGATGCAGGAAACATCTGGATGTCTCTGTGTCATCAATGATGAAGCTGATCTTCATCTTCATCATCTCTGCAGAGTCTGCCTGTGTTTTCATCCTCCTCCACGTTTCTGTCTGACCATTAACCTCAAATGACCCCTCCACACTGATGATCAGCTGCTTTTCAAAGAATAGTTCAGGAGAACTGAAAACATGATGCAGCTGGACCAAACTGGACTAGACTAACTGGACTAGACTAACTGGACAAGACTAACTGGACTAGACTAGACTAACTGGACAAGACTAACTGGACTAGACTAACTGGACTAGACTAACTGGACTAGACTAACTGGACAAGACTAACTGGACTAGACTAGACTAACTGGACTAGACTGACTGGACTAGACTGACAGGACTAGACTAACTGGACTAGACTAGACTAACTGGACTAGACTAGACTAACTGGACAAGACTAGACTAACTGGACTAGACTGACTGACTTGACTAGACTAACTGGACTAGACTGACTGGACTAGACTAACTGGACTAGACTGACTGGACTAGACTGACTGAACTAGACTGACTGGCCTAGACTGACTGGACTAGACTAACTGGACTAGACTAACATAGTCAGAACAGCCTATTTTCACCTTCGTAATATATCCAAGATCAGGAATATCCTGTCGCAAAATGATGCAGAAAAACTAGTTCATGCATTTGTTACCTCCAGACTGGATTATTGTAATTCTCTTTTGTCAGGGTGCTCTGGTAAGTCTCTAAAGACTCTTCAACTAGTCCAGAACGCTGCAGCTCGTGTACTGACTAGAACTCGGAAAAGGGACCACATTACTCCTGTGTTGGCTTCTCTGCACTGGCTCCCTATACAGTCAAGATCCTTGTTCTCACTTACAAGGCTCTAAATGGCCAGGCACCATCTTATCTTAAGGAGCTACTAGTGCCGTACTGTCCCTCGAGAACATTACGGTCCCAGAATGCAGGTACCTACAGTCTATACTATGGGAGGTAAAGCCTTCAGTTATCGGGCTCCTCTCCTCTGGAATCATCTTCCAGCCGGGGGCCGGGAGGCAGACACAGTCTGTATTTTCAAGAATAGACTTAAAACTTTCCTTTTTGATAAATCTAGGGACCAGCTCTTAGTTATGCTGCTATAGGCTTAGACTACCGGGGGAACTGGCACCTTGAGCTCCTCTCTCTCTCTCTCTATGTGCATATACAGTACATCATATTACTGCATGTATCTATCTGTAAATCTCAGTCTCTAACCACCTACTTTCCTGGGAGCTCTTGAGCTCTCTTAGGCTCCTCGAGATCGTTGGTTGACGGCCTGCCAGAACAACCCCCACCCCCTCCCCACCGGATCGTTGGTTGACGGCCTGCCAGAACAGCCCCCCTCCCCACCGGATTGTTGATGGACGGTTTGCCTCCCCCCACCCCCTTGCTCCCTATCCCTCTTCCTGCATCTTATCCCATCTCTCCCCCTATCCCTTTCCAAACCTGGCGCAGTCTAGGCCCATGAAGGCTAGCCGGGGATCCGGCTCATGACGGATTTCAGATTTCTGTCTTTTAATAAGGCAGTTTTTTCTTACCACTGTAACTTTTGCTGCTTTGCTAAAAGTGCTCATGATGGATAGGCCGGATCTTTGTAACATAGCAATAAGTAAGGTCCTTTACCTGCTTTTTGTAACATAACAATGAGTAAGGTCTTTTTACCTGCTCTTTTGTAATGTTAACACACAATGAGAAAGGTATTTTACCTGCTTTTTGTGAAGTGTCTCAAGATAACACTTGTTATGAGTTGACGCTATACAAATAAAAATTGATTGATTGATTGACTAACGAATAGACTAACTGGACTAGACCTACCTGTTAGCATAGCTGCCTGTTAGCATTGCTACATGATCAGATCAGTTAGTTCAGATCAGTTAAGTTAAGTTAAGTTCAGATCAATTAGTTCAGATCAGTTCAGTTCAGTTCAGTTCAGATCAGTTCAGTTCAGTTCAGTTCAGATCAATTAGTTCAGATCAGTTCAGTTCAGATCAGTTAGTTCAGATCAGATCAGATCAGTTAGTTCAGATCAGTTAGTTCAGATCAGTTAGTTCAGTTCAGATCAGTTAGTTCAGATCAGATCAGTTAGATCAGTTCAGATCAGTTCAGTTCAGTTCAGATCAGTTCAGTTCAGATCAGTTAGTTCAGATCAGTTAAGTTAAGTTAAGTTCAGATCAATTAGTTCAGATCAGTTCAATTCAGTTCAGTTCAGATCAGTTCAGCTCAGTTCAGTTCAGTTCAGTTCAGATCAGTTAGTTCAGATCAGTTCAGTTCAGATCAGTTAGTTCAGTTCAGTTCAGTTCAGTTAGTTCAGTTCAGATCAGTTCAGTTAGTTCAGATCAGTTAGTTCAGTTCAATTCAGATCAGTTCAGTTCAGTTCAGATCAATTAGTTCAGATCAGTTCAGTTCAGTTCAGATCAGTTCAGTTCAGATCAGTTAGTTCAGATCAGTTAAGTTAAGTTAAGTTCAGATCAATTAGTTCAGATCAGTTAAGTTCAGTTCAGTTCAGATCAGTTAAGTTCAGTTCAGTTCAGATCAATTAGTTCAGATCAGTTCAGTTCAGATCAGTTAGTTCAGATCAGATCAGATCAGTTAGTTCAGATCAGTTAGTTCAGTTCAGATCAGTTAGTTCAGATCAGATCAGTTAGATCAGTTCAGATCAGTTCAGTTCAGATCAGTTAGTTCAGATCAGTTCAGATCAGTTAGTTCAGATCAGTTAGTTCAGTTCAGATCAGTTAGTTCAGTTCGTTCAGATCAGTTAGTTCAGATCAGTTAGTTCAGATCAGATCAGATCAGTTCAGTTAGTTCAGATCAGTTAGTTCAGTTCAGTTCAGATCAGATCAGTTAGTTCAGATCAGATCAGTTAGTTCAGATCAGATCAGTTAGTTCAGTTCAGATCAGTTAGTTCAGATCAGATCAGTTCAGATCAGTTAGTTCAGTTCAGATCAGATCAGTTGAGATCAGTTAGTTCAGTTCAGATCAGTTAGTTCAGTTCAGATCAGTTGAGATCAGTTAGTTCAGTTCAGTTAGTTCAGATCAGATCAGTTCAGATCAGTTAGTTCAGATCAGATCAGTTCAGATCAGTTAGTTCAGTTCAGATCAGTTCAGATCAGATCAGTTCAGATCAGATCAGTTCAGTTGAGATCAGTTAGTTGAGATCAGTTAGTTCAGATCAGTTAGTTCAGATCAGTTAGTTCAGTTCAGATCAGTTAGTTCAGATCAGTTCAGATCAGTTAGTTCAGATCAGTTAGTTCAGATCAGATCAGTTCAGATCAGTTAGTTCAGTTCAGATCAGTTCAGATCAGTTAGTTCAGTTCAGTTAGTTCAGATCAGATCAGTTCAGATCAGTTAGTTCAGATCAGATCAGTTCAGATCAGTTAGTTCAGTTCAGATCAGTTAGTTCAGATCAGTTAGTTCAGATCAGTTAGTTCAGTTCAGATCAGTTCAGATCAGTTAGTTCAGATCAGTTAGTTCAGATCAGATCAGTTAGTTCAGATCAGTTAGTTCAGATCAGTTAGTTCAGTTCAGATCAGTTAGTTCAGTTCAGATCAGTTAGTTCAGTTCAGATCAGTTAGTTCAGATCAGTTCAGATCAGTTAGTTCAGATCAGTTAGTTCAGATCAGTTAGTTCAGATCAGATCAGTTCAGATCAGTTAGTTCAGATCAGATCAGTTAGTTCAGATCAGTTAGTTCAGATCAGTTAGTTCAGTTCAGATCAGTTCAGATCAGTTAGTTCAGATCAGATAGTTCAGATCAGTTAGTTCAGATCAGATCAGTTCAGATCAGTTAGTTCAGTTCAGATCAGTTAGTTCAGTTCAGATCAGTTCAGATCAGTTAGTTCAGTTCAGTTAGTTCAGATCAGATCAGTTCAGATCAGTTAGTTCAGATCAGTTAGTTCAGATCAGTTAGTTCAGATCAGTTAGTTCAGTTCAGATCAGTTCAGATCAGTTAGTTCAGATCAGTTAGTTCAGATCAGATCAGTTAGTTCAGATCAGTTAGTTCAGTTCAGATCAGTTAGTTCAGTTCAGATCAGTTAGTTCAGATCAGTTCAGATCAGTTAGTTCAGATCAGTTAGTTCAGATCAGTTAGTTCAGATCAGATCAGTTCAGATCAGTTAGTTCAGATCAGATCAGTTAGTTCAGATCAGTTAGTTCAGTTCAGATCAGTTGAGATCAGTTAGTTCAGATCAGATCAGTTAGTTCAGTTGAGATCAGTTAGTTCAGTTGAGATCAGTTAGTTCAGTTGAGATCAGTTAGTTCAGTTGAGATCAGTTAGTTCAGATCAGTTAGTTCAGATCAGTTAGTTCAGATCAGATCAGTTCAGATCAGTTAGTTCAGTTCAGATCAGTTCAGATCAGTTAGTTCAGATCAGATCAGTTCAGATCAGTTAGTTCAGATCAGATCAGTTAGTTCAGTTGAGATCAGTTAGTTCAGTTGAGATCAGTTAGTTCAGTTGAGATCAGTTAGTTCAGTTGAGATCAGTTAGTTCAGATCAGTTAGTTCAGATCAGTTAGTTCAGATCAGATCAGTTCAGATCAGTTAGTTCAGATCAGATCAGTTAGTTCAGATCAGTTAGTTCAGATCAGTTAGTTCAGTTCAGATCAGTTAGTTCAGTTGAGATCAGTTAGTTCAGATCAGTCAGTTCAGTTCAGTTCAGTTCGTCACGTTAAGATCAAAATTCGGTTACGATCTCCAAACTAGCGTCCCGTAGCATCCTACTTCCTGCTACCCGTCTGTTGGGGCGCCAAGTCTACTGATTTGACCCTAAAAGGTGGAGCTAAACCTGCAGTCCGTTGATTGGTGGAAATGATCGTCACTTCCTGTGCGACAGCGGTTATAAAGGATGCCGCATTCCGCCTCCACGACTTCCTGGATGTCCTCCACTCTGTCGCGTTCTTCTTCTTTGTTTAATTTATTAGCGCGGTGGACTGAGTCACACTGCTATGATGTCTCACACACGCACACACCTTTTGAATTAAATACTCTGACGTCACTGTGAGGTCACATTACGTCATAGATGATAATAACCTGCAGGCAGCTGAATCTTCTTTCATATTTCTCAGTTTGTTTATAATAAATAAATAAATATAAAATATTATATTATAACATAATAATAAATAATAACCTGTAATCATTTAGACTACAGAAGAATAAATAAACTACATTTAACTTATTACCGTAAATTCACCACCGAAGACGTAAACTAGCGTTTTTACGACATTACGGTAATGAAGCACAAACAGACGTTAAAAACATTGAAGATGTTTACGACACAAAGTGTCATCATGAAGAAGAGCCGCTCCCTCCTCATGACAACAAACCGGCCTGCGACGGGCCCACAATCCAACGGGGATCCAACACCGGAACACCGGGACACTCAGGCGACTAACGGCCACTAGAACCGACTGAACAGGACCGGAAGGACCCGGACAGACCAAGAACCGAGCCTGAGCAGGAGGAGACCTACCCGGTTACTGACGCGTCTTTACGCCCGTCTGGATGTCCCGACAATCGGACAATAATCCGGTCCCCGTCCCGGGACTTTCCAGGTTCCACTGAGGGTTAGGTCCCGGGTTGAGTCCGGGTTTAGTCTGGGTTAGGTTCTGGGTTAGGTCCCGGGTTTAGTCCGGGTCTTAGGTCCTGGTTTTGGTCCACTGTTTAGGCTCTGAAATGCTCCATCTTGTTAGTGGCCTGGATCTGCTCGACTTTAAAGACGCAGTGACGCAACATTCGTCAAGCCTGCTGCAGCCCGACGCCACCGGAACTTCCGGTAGAATTTCACACAAAAATGAGCCATCGTCTTGTTAAAATAAAGAAATAACAGATATGATCACGTTATTATTGTCAGTCTATGGTTTGTAACCCTAACCCAGTATATTTATATTTATTTATATTTTGTTTTCATAAGAGAAACACTGAATGAAGTTTAGAAAATGTTGAAAATGAAATTTTAAATAAAAACTGCAGTTCTTCGAGTGTCCACTGGAGGCTGTCTCAAAAACAAACAATGCTCATTGGCTGTTCAGCTTTTTATTTAACACCCACATTTTAAGCTACAAATGGCAGCGTTAGCATGGTCAGCAGCTTTAGCAGGGTCAGCAGCGTTAGCAGGGTCAGCAGCGTTAGCAGGGTCAGCAGCGTTAGCAGGGTCAGCAGCTTTAGCATGGTCAGCAGCGTTAGCAGGGTCAGCAGCGTTAGCATGGTCAGCAGCGTTAGCAGGGTCAGCAGCTTTAGCATGGTCAGCAGCGTTAGCAGGGTCAGCAGCGTTAGCATGGTTAGCAGCGTTAGCATGGTCAGCAGCGTTAGCAGCGTTAGCAGCGTTAGCAGCGTTAGCATGGTCAGCAGCGTTAGCAGCGTTAGCATGGTCAGCAGCGTTAGCAGGGTCAGCAGCGTTAGCATGGTCAGCAGCATTAGCAGGGTCAGCAGTGTTAGCAGCGTTAGCAGGGTCAGCAGCGTTAGCAGGGTCAGCAGCGTTAGCATGGTCAGCAGCTTTAGCAGGGTCAGCAGCGTTAGCATGGTCAGCAGCGTTAGCATGGTCAGCAGCGTTAGCATGGTCAGCAGCGTTAGCAGGGTCAGCAGCGTTAGCAGCGTTAGCAGGGTCAGCAGCGTTAGCATGGTCAGCAGCTTTAGCAGGGTCAGCAGCGTTAGCATGGTCAGCAGCGTTAGCATGGTCAGCAGCGTTAGCAGCGTTAGCATGGTCAGCAGCGTTAGCAGGGTCAGCAGCGTTAGCATGGTCAGCAGCGTTAGCAGGGTCAGCAGCGTTAGCATGGTCAGCAGCTTTAGCAGGGTCAGCAGCGTTAGCATGGTCAGCAGCGTTAGCATGGTCAGCAGCGTTAGCAGCGTTAGCATGGTCAGCAGCGTTAGCATGGTCAGCAGCGTTAGCAGCGTTAGCATGGTCAGCAGCGTTAGCAGGGTCAGCAGCGTTAGCATGGTCAGCAGCGTTAGCAGGGTTAGCAGCGTTAGCATGGTCAGCAGCGTTAGCAGCGTTAGCAGCGTTAGCATGGTCAGCAGCGTTAGCAGCGTTAGCATGGTCAGCAGCGTTAGCAGGGTCAGCAGCGTTAGCATGGTCAGCAGCATTAGCAGGGTCAGCAGTGTTAGCAGCGTTAGCAGGGTCAGCAGCGTTAGCAGCGTTAGCAGGGTCAGCAGCGTTAGCAGGGTCAGCAGCGTTAGCATGGTCAGCAGCTTTAGCAGGGTCAGCAGCGTTAGCATGGTCAGCAGCGTTAGCATGGTCAGCAGCGTTAGCAGCGTTAGCATGGTCAGCAGCGTTAGCAGGGTCAGCAGCGTTAGCATGGTCAGCAGCGTTAGCATGGTCAGCAGCGTTAGCAGCGTTAGCATGGTCAGCAGCGTTAGCAGGGTCAGCAGCGTTAGCATGGTCAGCAGCGTTAGCATGGTCAGCAGCGTTAGCAGCGGTAGCATGGTCAGCAGCGTTAGCAGGGTCAGCAGCGTTAGCATGGTCAGCAGCTTTAGCATGGTCAGCAGCGTTAGCAGCGTTAGCATGGTCAGCAGCGTTAGCAGGGTCAGCAGCGTTAGCATGGTCAGCAGCTTTAGCAGGGTCAGCAGCGTTAGCATGGTCAGCAGCGTTAGCATGGTCAGCAGCTTTAGCAGGGTCAGCAGTGTTAGCATGGTCAGCAGCGTTAGCAGGGTCAGCAGCTTTAGCATGGTCAGCAGTGTTAGCATGGTCAGCAGCGTTAGCAGGGTCAGCAGCGTTAGCAGGGTCAGCAGCGTTAGCATGGTCAGCAGCGTTAGCAGGGTCAGCAGTGTTAGCATGGTCAGCAGCGTTAGCATGGTCAGCAGCGTTAGCAGCGTTAGCATGGTCAGCAGCATTAGCAGGGTCAGCAGTGTTAGCATGGTCAGCAGCGTTAGCAGCGTTAGCATGGTCAGCAGCGTTAGCAGGGTCAGCAGCGTTAGCATGGTCAGCAGCGTTAGCATGGTCAGCAGCGTTAGCAGCGTTAGCATGGTCAGCAGCGTTAGCAGGGTCAGCAGCGTTAGCATGGTCAGCAGCGTTAGCATGGTCAGCAGCGTTAGCAGCGTTAGCATGGTCAGCAGCGTTAGCAGGGTCAGCAGCGTTAGCATGGTCAGCAGCTTTAGCATGGTCAGCAGCGTTAGCAGCGTTAGCATGGTCAGCAGCGTTAGCAGGGTCAGCAGCGTTAGCATGGTCAGCAGCTTTAGCAGGGTCAGCAGCGTTAGCATGGTCAGCAGCGTTAGCATGGTCAGCAGCTTTAGCAGGGTCAGCAGTGTTAGCATGGTCAGCAGCGTTAGCAGGGTCAGCAGCTTTAGCATGGTCAGCAGTGTTAGCATGGTCAGCAGCGTTAGCAGGGTCAGCAGCGTTAGCAGGGTCAGCAGCGTTAGCATGGTCAGCAGCGTTAGCAGGGTCAGCAGTGTTAGCATGGTCAGCAGCGTTAGCATGGTCAGCAGCGTTAGCAGCGTTAGCATGGTCAGCAGCATTAGCAGGGTCAGCAGTGTTAGCAGCGTTAGCAGGGTCAGCAGCGTTAGCAGCGTTAGCAGGTCAGCAGCGTTAGCAGGGTCAGCAGCGTTAGCATGGTCAGCAGCGTCAGCAGCGTTAGCAGCGTTAGCAGGGTCAGCAGCGTTAGCAGCGTTAGCAGGGTCAGCAGCGTTAGCAGGGTCAGCAGCGTTAGCATGGTCAGCAGCGTCAGCAGCGTTAGCATGGTCAGCAGCGTTAGCAGGGTCAGCAGCGTTAGCATGGTCAGCAGCGTCAGCAGCGTTAGCATGGTCAGCAGCGTTAGCAGCGTTAGCAGGGTCAGCAGCGTTAGCAGCGTTAGCAGGGTCAGCAGCGTTAGCAGGGTCAGCAGCGTTAGCATGGTCAGCAGCGTCAGCAGCGTTAGCATGGTCAGCAGCGTTAGCATGGTCAGCAGCGTTAGCATGGTCAGCAGCGTTAGCAGGGTCAGCAGCGTTAGCATGGTCAGCAGCTTTAGCAGGGTCAGCAGCGTTAGCATGGTCAGCAGCGTTAGCATGGTCAGCAGCGTTAGCAGCGTTAGCATGGTCAGCAGCGTTAGCAGGGTCAGCAGCGTTAGCATGGTCAGCAGCTTTAGCAGGGTCAGCAGCGTTAGCAGGGTCAGCAGCGTTAGCATGGTCAGCAGCGTTAGCAGGGTCAGCAGCGTTAGCAGGGTCAGCAGCTTTAGCAGGGTCAGCAGCGTTAGCATGGTCAGCAGCGTTAGCATGGTCAGCAGCGTTAGCAGCGTTAGCATGGTCAGCAGCGTTAGCAGGGTCAGCAGCGTTAGCATGGTCAGCAGCGTTAGCAGCGTTAGCATGGTCAGCAGCGTTAGCAGGGTCAGCAGCGTTAGCATGGTCAGCAGCGTTAGCAGCGTTAGCATGGTCAGCAGCGTTAGCAGGGTCAGCAGCGTTAGCATGGTCAGCAGCGTTAGCAGGGTCAGCAGCGTTAGCATGGTCAGCAGCGTTAGCAGGGTCAGCAGCGTTAGCATGGTCAGCAGCTTTAGCATGGTCAGCAGCGTTAGCATGGTCAGCAGCGTTAGCAGCGTTAGCATGGTCAGCAGCGTTAGCAGGGTCAGCAGCGTTAGCATGGTCAGCAGCGTTAGCAGCATTAGCATGGTCAGCAGCGTTAGCAGGGTCAGCAGCGTTAGCATGGTCAGCAGCTTTAGCATGGTCAGCAGCGTTAGCAGGGTCAGCAGCTTTAGCATGGTCAGCAGCGTTAGCAGGGTCAGCAGCTTTAGCATGGTCAGCAGCGTTAGCAGGGTCAGCAGCGTTAGCAGGTCAGCAGCGTTAGCAGGGTCAGCAGCTTTAGCAGGGTCAGCAGCGTTAGCATGGTCAGCAGCGTTAGCAGGGTCAGCAGCTTTAGCATGGTCAGCAGCGTTAGCAGGGTCAGCAGCTTTAGCATGGTCAGCAGCGTTAGCATGGTCAGCAGCGTTAGCAGGGTCAGCAGCGTTAGCATGGTCAGCAGTGTTAGCATGGTCAGCAGCGTTAGCAGGGTCAGCAGCGTTAGCAGGGTCAGCAGTGTTAGCAGGGTCAGCAGCGTTAGCATGGTCAGCAGTGTTAGCATGGTCAGCAGTGTTAGCAGGGTCAGCAGCGTTAGCAGGGTCAGCAGCTTAGCAGGGTCAGCAGCGTTAGCAGGGTCAGCAGCGTTAGCAGGGTCAGCAGCTTTAGCATGGTCAGCAGCGTTAGCATGGTCAGCAGCGTTAGCAGGGTCAGCAGCGTTAGCATGGTCAGCAGTGTTAGCATGGTCAGCAGCGTTAGCAGGGTCAGCAGCGTTAGCAGGGTCAGCAGCGTTAGCAGGGTCAGCAGCGTTAGCATGGTCAGCAGTGTTAGCATGGTCAGCAGTGTTAGCAGGGTCAGCAGCGTTAGCAGGGTCAGCAGCTTTAGCAGGGTCAGCAGCGTTAGCAGGGTCAGCAGCGTTAGCAGGGTCAGCAGCTTTAGCATGGTCAGCAGCGTTAGCAGGGTCAGCAGCTTTAGCATGGTCAGCAGCGTTAGCAGGGTCAGCAGCGTTAGCAGGGTCAGCAGCGTTAGCAGGGTCAGCAGCTTTAGCAGGGTCAGCAGCATTAGCATGGTCAGCAGCGTTAGCAGGGTCAGCAGCGTTAGCAGGGTCAGCAGCGTTAGCAGGGTCAGCAGCGTTAGCATGGTCAGCAGCGTTAGCAGGGTCAGCAGCGTTAGCAGGGTCAGCAGCGTTAGCAGGGTCAGCAGCTTTAGCATGGTCAGCAGCGTTAGCAGGGTCAGCAGCTTTAGCATGGTCAGCAGCGTTAGCAGGGTCAGCAGCGTTAGCAGGGTCAG